ATAATGGCCAATAGGAAAGTGCTGCAGGCAACATGGGGCTTTCAATGCTACCAGGAAGTGTTAGGCTTCAAGATACAAATACTGGAGATGGCTTTTTGAAAAGCTGATTGTGTGGAAAGCAGAGGAAAGTGTCATGTGTTCCCCCGTACCTTGGATCAGGGTGGTGGGGAAACATGTCTTCTATCATGCAGCCCAGTTACTTTGCCACACAGGTGTTGCTTTAAGAATTTTGATAAATGTCTGTGATGTGCTTTTTGTCTAGTAAGTAACACTGCTTATGATCTTTTGTGTAGCTCTACGATACATTGTGGGAAGTCCTGGAGGATTGTTGGGACCCGGACCCGGAGGCCCGTCTAACCGCCCAGTGTGCTGAACAGAGACTGCATAACCTTATTCAAGCTGCAACTGTCTTTCACACTGCTGAGCCCTCATATTTTGTTTCTTCAGTTTAAGGAAAAAAAGGTGTTCTTGCATATTTGTGTCCCTTAAAGGAGAAGTCCAGGAAAATGTTTATTAATTCATACAATGGGGCCACCCCCCGCATTGCAAGGGTTAAGTACTTGTTTGTGTCTATGATACTCACCAGACCATCCCAGGCAGCTTGTTCTTAGACCGGTGTCTCGAGCGTCTCTTCCCCTCTGCTGCAGTGGTCCAAGGATCCTGGTATCGCCACACTCTTTACACTGTGCATAGACTGTGTGTATATGTGAGGACACACTTCAGTGATCACAGAATCAGGGAGCCAGCTCGGAAGGTCTGGTGAGTATAACTTTTGATTTAGCGCCTAGACAAAAATGAGCACTTAACCCTTGCAGTGCAGGGGTAGCCCCATTGCAGGCGTTAATAACATGTTTAACTGGAGTTCTTCTTTAATCTCAGGTCTATCTGTTATAGCAATTATGCATGAAATAAGGAGATCGCCACAGGAACAATTTGTGGTGTAATATGGTGCACAAACAAAAAAAGTTACATGTATCAGGTAAAAACTAAACTTGATGGGATTTTGTTTTTGATTTAGTTTTGGATAAAGTAAAGGTTAGAACCCTTGCCAGCTTCAATTGCTATGTACCCTGATTTTCTGTCCCGGTGACCAGCCAGAAAAAAAGGAAAGGTTTCCAGTGAGAACACAGTAATTAAAGCTGATAGAAGTTCAACACCTTCCACACTGTGCTAAAAAAGTAATTTTTCGTTTGCATCTGTCACTAATGCGATTGCGTCCATAGTAAGTAAGAGAACACATTCCAAGAGCAAGCACAAACAGCAATAGCATCCTAACAGAGGTTCCAGACCTTCCCCAATCTATCCAAAACTAAAATAAACAGGGTTATTCACTGAAGGGTGAAGAGTTTGGAGAAGGCAGGAGAAGTGAACAATCTAGGACAACATAGCTGAACTGGAAACATTCTACAATTCAGCTCACTTCCCAGTTCAGCTATGTTGTCCTAGATTGTTCACTTCTCCTGCCTTCTCCAAATTCGTCACCCTTTTGTGAATAGACCTGTTTAAGTTTTGGCAGGGGTCCTGCTTAAAGCATTATAGACACTAGCACAGGTAAAAAGAGAAACGTTATTTATCTATTGAAGTGGTAAACCTTACTCAGGGTTATCTATTATTGTTCACGTTTTTATGTATTTACGTATTTACCTTTTACATAAAATGAGCCACTTTCATACACTTTACTGTGATCTATCATTTCGTCCTTCTCCTCCTTTAACATTTTGCTGGTTTGACAACTGCAGATCTACTGAAAGTTAAGTGACACTAAACTCAGGAGTTAAACTTTCAAAATGCATTCAAGTACTAGAGGTGCACCAAAATGCAAAAAATGTCAGGCCGACATTTTTTAAAGTATTTTATTCTTATTTTCTTTTCAAAACATTTTATTTGATTTATTTCCTAATAAATATTTTTAGTTTTTAATTTTAAAAACCTGTGTGTGCTGCTTGTCCTCTTTTAACTGTCCTTTCTCTACTGCTCCCTCTGTACAGCCTGTCCCCACCATCAACTGCTCCGTCTGTACAGCCTGTCCCCACCATCAACTGCTCCCTCTGTACCGCCTGTCCCCACCATCAACTGCTCCCTCTGTACTGCCTGTCCCCACCATCAACTGCTCCCTCTGTACTGCCTGTCCCCACCATCAACTGCTCCCTCTGTACTGCCTGTCACTACCATCAAATAAAATGTATTGAAAAATTAAAAAATATAAAAAATAAATAAAAAAAAGGGCCTGTCCACCTGGCAGCAAAAGGGTTACATTGGGAGTCAGCGTAAATACCCCTGTTACATCGGAGGTCAGCGTAAATACCCCTGTTACATTTGAGGTCAGCGTAAATACCCCTGTTACATTGGAGGTCAGCGTAAATACTCCTGTTACATCTGAGGTCAGCGTAAATACCCCTGTTACATCGGAGGACAGTGTAAATACCCCTGTTACATCTGAGATCAGTGTTAATACCCCTGTTACATTGGAGGAGAGTGTAAATACCCCTGTTACATCTGAGGTCAGCATAAATACCCCTGTTACATCTGAGGTCAGCATAAATACCCCTGTTACATTGGAGGTCAGTGTAAATAGCCGTTACATCATAGATCAGTGTAAATACCCAACTGCTCCCTCTGTACTACCTGTCCCGACCATCAACTGCTCCCTCTGTACTGCCTGTCCCCACCATCAACTGCTCCCTCTGTACTGCCTGTCCCCACCATCAACTGCTCCCTCTGTACTGCCTGTCACTACCATCAAATAAAAAGTATTGAAAATTTAAAAAATAAATAAAAAGAAGGGCCTGTCCACCTGGCAGCAAAAGGGTTACATTGGGAGTCAGCGTAAATACCCCTGTTACATCTGAGGTCAGCTTAAATACCCCCGTTACATCTGAGGTCAGCTTAAATACCCATGTTACATCTGAGATCAGTGTTAATACCCCTGTTACATTGGAGGACAGTGTAGATACCCCTGTTACATTGGAGGACAGTGTAAATACCCCTGTTACATCTGGGATCAGTGTTAATATCCCTGTTACATTGGAGGTCAGTGTATCGTGGTGTATCTGGACTTTGGTAAAGCGTTCGATTCAGTACCCTACAAATGTCTAATTAACAAACTAAGGTTGATAGGTTTGGAGGAAATTGTTTGCACATGGGTGTAAAACTGGCTACAAGAACGGACCCAGAGGGTAGTAATGATTGGCTCATTCTCTAATTGGGCAAAAGTCAGGAGTGGGGTGCCCCAGGGGTCGGTCCTGGGACAAATCCTTTTTATCCTATTCATCAATGACACAGAGATTGGCATAATTAGTTTGATCTCCATTTTTGTTGATGATACAAAACTGTGTAGGGCCGTAAATTCCAAACAGGAGATATGTGCACTTCAGCAAGACCTGGATCAAACGGAAGCATGTGCCACACATTGGTATATGCCATTTAATGTTGTAAGTTATGCATATGGGTGCATGACCCATGAAGATTGCCTCACACAATTGTATTATTCTCCTTACAAAGGAGGCGATTACGAGGGGACCTTATTGCAGTCTTCAAAACATCACTGGGGAGCACAATATGCACTGAAAACAGCATTGAGAACTCGTGGACACAACAAGAGGATAGAAGAGAGGGGGTTCAATCTTAGAACGCACAAGGGTTGTTTTTTTACTGTGCGAGTAGTAAAAATGTGGAATCTCCTTCTACAGGTAGTGCGATCCGCTGATCAAGTAGAATAGGTCAAGAGACTGCTGGATGAGTTTCTTCAGTCACTGAATATACAACGATATGTGAAGTGTTAAAAACACACACGAACTTGGTCTTTATTTAACCTCACCTGCTATGTTACTAAATACCCCCGTTACATTGGAGGTCAGTGTAAATACCCCCGTTACATCGGAGGTCAGTGTAAATACCCCCGTTACATTGGAGGTCAGTGTAAATACCCCCGTTACATTAAAGGTCAGTGTAAATACCCCCGTTACATTGGAGGTCAGTGTAAATACCCCCGTTACATTAAAGGTCAGTGTAAATACCCCTGTTACATCTGAGGTCAGCTTAAATACCCCCGTTACATCTGAGATCAGTGTTAATACCCCTGTTACATTGGAGGACAGTGTAAATACCCCTGTTACATTGGAGGTCAGTGTAAATACCCCTGTTACATCTGAGGTCAGCTTAAATACCCCTGTTACATTGGAGGTCAGTGTAAATACCCCCGTTACATTAAAGGTCAGTGTAAATACCCGTTACATCGGGAGGTCAGCGTAAATACCCGTTACATCGGAGGTCAGCGTAAATACCCGCTACATCGGAGGTCAGCGTAAAAACCCGTTACATCTGAGGTCAGCGTAAATACCCCCATCACATTGGAGGTCAGTGTAAATACCCCTGTTACATCGTAGGTCAGCATAAATACCCGTTACATTGTAGGTCAGCGTAAATACCCCACATTACATTGGAGGTCCATGTAAATACCCCACATTACATTGGAGGTCCATGTAAATACCCCACATTACATTGGAGGTCCATGTAAATACCCCTGTTAGAACGAAAGTCAGTGTAAATACCCCCATTACATTGGATTGGAGGTCAGTGTAAATACCCGTTACATCGGAGGTCAGTGTAAATCAGTCATCAGCATAAAGTGTATGATGAGTTTTACTTTGATGTTTGTTTCATTACCCCTAACATCATGATTGGAGTGACATTTTCAGCGCAGTGTGGTGCAGCAGAATGACACCCCACTCAAACGTGGTTGGGGTTTTCTTAACCTAGAGAAGACGGGACGGGATCATCACGTGAGGCACACGAGTCCGAGCAGTACACAGCCTGGCATTGAAACGGTTAACACGTCTGCAGTGCTGCTCGGGTGTGTCTCAGACCTGGCTCGCCTGGTGGGCGGAACTAAAAGGCAGCACTAGCAGACGAAGGAGAAAAACCGGCCAATCGCAATCAAGTGGGTGGAGCAAAGAGCAAAAATAATGCAAAGTCTCCCGGAAGAAGAGAGAATCCTCTGGGAGAAGAGTGCGAGTGACAGGTGCGTACAATGCGCTGGCTGATCACTGTGTGCGCTCGGCTCTGTCTGTGTCCATATCTCTGGAACATGACAGCAACATACCCACCTTTCACACCATAGATGATGACTTTCTGACTGCCTCTGATTCTCATGTTGTGTCGATACATTTCAGTCACCCTAAGTGCGTTCTATAGGAGTGGCCCATGGACATTGCTGTCCCTATGGGATGTACAATCAGCAGGTCTCCATAACTGGCAATCTGGGCTTTTCAATACTTACACATAGTATGTATAGGCCAGAGCTGGTCATATATTGCTGCTTGGACCTTTAAGATATTGTTTCTGATCTTTACCTGAGTCGGCAAAGTTGATTTTATGATGCTGGTAGTCATGGATTTGCTGTGTGCCCCATGCTCTGCTGATTGCCGCACCCTGGAGCTGTGTACACATACACTCGCCCTTCATTTCTACCCACCCGTTGGCTTTTAACCACTTCAGGACCGGCATGTTACACCCCTTCCTGTCCAGGCCATTTTTTCAGTTTTTTAACGCTGTGATACTCTGACAATTACTTGGCCATGCCACACCGTGCCCAAATTATTTTATATCAGAGTGTTCGTTTGGCGGTATTTAATAACCGCTGGTTTTTTATTTTTCACTATATATAGGAGAAAAAACAAAAATTTTTTGGGGAAAAAAACCCTGCTTCTCTTACTTTCTATTAAAATAAAAATGTCAGGACAGTACGAACACCTCCATTATGACCTCTTTTAGGAAAGTGGTTATCCCAAGGTGATCTCATTTTTTTGCCATGAATGAAGAATCATTCTGGTATTGAGGGCGTTAAAGCAGAACTCTGGGGGGGATCTTAACCTATGAAGTGGGGCTACCCCCCACTGCAAGGGTTAAAGGAGAACTATGGGGTTAAGGCTTTTCCCCATAGTTCTCCTTAGGGTAACGGGAAGACACAAACTAGCGTCCTCCCGTCACCCTAGGCTCAGTATACCGCAAGCTGCAGCTCACGGTATACTGAGACGCCGCAGCTGAAGCGGATCCCGACAATTGTGCCGGGATCCGCCCAGCTGCGTGAGTGACAGCTGGCTCTGCCTATCTAAAGGTAGAGCCTGCTGTACCCGCCCCCTCCCCCGTCCGTTCCGCCAGTCAGCGCTGGAGGTTTGGAGTGGGGAGGGGGGAATCCAGCCACTCCCCTGTCACGGCAGAGAGCCGTGACAGGATCGAGAGGTGAGTGAACGCCGGTATGTGTTCGCTCACTTCTTAATCTACTGAGTCGACCTGTGACAGTCTCATTGTCACAGGTCGACTGTGATAGTACTTCCCCACCCAGCCTGTCTCCAGTGATGGTATGTCCCTCGGCCAATACACTCTATATAGAACGCGATAATTTATGGGACCTTAGACCGTTGCAATGGAGGAGTAGAGAGGCTGGAAGAACCAGTCTAAAGCTGGCCATACACCTATAGATTATCTGCAGATTTTCTTTGGTCAGATAGACTGTGAAACACTGCACTGTGAGCTCTCTGATTGGTCTTCTTTTGACCAGATCTGCTAAGATCGACTCTGTACACAGGGTCAGTGTACTGAGCTGTCCAGGGATGGTTTGGTTCACCGGCATTAGCAGGCACACTGACCGCCTGATGTATATTTCTGCTTGGATGTGTCAGCCCCTCCTGGCTGTATGAATGAGGGGGGAAACACTCCCACTGTACTATGCAAGCCGAGCGTGAGAGCGCAAATTGAGTGAATCTTGCCAGCCGGGGCACAGGCATCAATAAAAACCAGACATTAGTATGATTCCCCACTCTATCCAAAACTTTCAAATAGAAAAGTTTGGCTTTAAAGTGTATATTAAGCAAAAACTTTCTTTTTTATATTTGGGTAGAATAGGTAAGAGTTGGAACACCCTGTTTGTTTTTATGGCGGCCTCTGTCCCCGTTGGGGAGATCCCCCCACCCTCTCTTTGTCCTAGATGCATCAGGATCAAAAGTGATGGGAAATCCAATAGTTTGAGTTGTTTGGAACAGGCATACAGTAGAAGTCTTATTAGGGGATATTTATTATGGTGACAACTGTCTAAAGAGAGAAT